TTGAGAGGGGCGTGAAGGAAGCCTTCTATGTTAAGAAAGAAAAACCAACCTTAAACAGAGGAGGTGGATTCCTTCCTGCTATCATTGCAGCCCCAACCCCTTTACAGGAGAACACAAGACCTCGCCTATTCAGTCAGGCCAACTATTCCCTTTAACGACCCCCCTTTCAGAGACATAGACAGGTATGGGGCATCGCAGGCTAACAAAGAAACCAAATGACCCCCGTTCCAAAGGACTGGAGCCGTTCTTTTGGTTTAATTTGCATGTTTTCTAAACAAAAACAAGACTTTGTTGGGCTGCTGTATAAAGCCTTGACATTTTGAATTGAAAAAGCTTCCTGGATGGGAAGAGAAACGTCTTTAAACTTGGAAACAAAGTCCAGTGGATTGTTTTTTTTTTACTTTTTTGGAATGGCGTCTGATAGAGGCCATTAAAGACGTTATGCTGTGAACGAACTGGTTGGTGAAGAAAGTAAATACGCTTATTTGGTTACCTGGACGGTTACATGGTTCTTCACCAGGATAAGACTCTATGAATGCAGAGCTACACGTCTTTTACAAAAGGACAAAAATTTAGACTCTGGGTTTGATACACTTTTAAATTCATACATGGTATTTTGGGCTTAAGACTAAAACAGGACTAACAACAAGACTAGAACTATTTCAAGAGAGCACTTTTTTTGTCCACAGGGGAAAAGACCAGGTGCTCTAGCTCCACCTATTGTCTAACTGTGCACCACCCTGATCTATACTACTTTTTCCTTTTTAATGACATAATAACTGTCATGATTTAATTAAAGGTCTGACCCAAAATGCAGAAGACCAAACAGAGAGACCAGGGAAAAGTTTTACAGGTTTATTAGAATAGTGACATGAGTCCAATGCTGCTCTGAACACTGCTGAACCGGAACTGAAAGGTGAGGGGACTGCGGTTAGTTCAGGCTCAGTGGGAAATTAGATTCTTTGGCTTGAAGAGGAGGAATAGGTTACAGACTCACGTTTCCAACAAAAGGCGTCCTTTATAGAATCCAGTCTGTGTGGGATGTTCCAGTGATTGTCTTGTTCGATGTTGGGCGGACTGGGTTTACTCAGACTGCGGTTGTTCCTTGGTGAACGGAGAATCTGACAGCCACTCAGATTTCCTGCGGTACTTGAACGGGTCGTAATGGAGATGAATCCCTTTCTCAGTGTGAAGCTCAAACGATCTCTTGGGGAAAGTGGATCCAAACCTCCTGTTTGAACCCCAGCTCAGTTTAAAGCTCAGTTGATCCTTCCAGGGGGAGAAGGTCCGAAAACTCCAGTTTGCAGGATGACTTCCCAAAACTGGCAAACACTCTGGCATACAGGTAGTGACAGTCAGCAATTTAAGAACACTCCACAGGTAATGAGGCAGGTGTGCAGGGAGGCCCATTGAGGACGGGGCACCACCTGGTGGAGGAAAAAAGGAAACACAGAAACAACCCACAAAAACTGGATTCCTGACAATAACAAGCTTTCAAAATGGCATTGTTAGTGATAAACAATCAAAAACTAGGAAATTTAGATATTTGTTGTGCAAAGGAAATGACAAATTGTGCCAAATACTGACATCAAATATAAAGTGGTATCCGTATCCTATGCCTAAAGAACTGGTGCATATTCTGATAGAATCATGGAGAAATGACAGATTGTGTGATCGGTTAAAGATCTTTATTCTGGCAAATGACCCATAAGAATAGTTGCATTATTTTAAATATTGTGATTAAAAGCTTCTATGATTTCCATAATACATCAGTTTTCACTAACCGTTCTAACAGCATTTCACAAAAAGGACGATTGACGGCGTGTAAATTTGAGGCACAGAGGAAGATTACTGACATGCTAAAAGCTACAAACAATTAGAAATACAGTGTGGGAAAAACAGGAAGCAGTCAGGTTCCTGTCTGTCCCTGCAAAGCACCGATTTTAACTCGATGAAATGCATTCCGTAAAAATTCAAAAAATATGACTTTTACGGAATGACTAGGACCTGGATGACTGAGAACCTTCATCAGATGAAATGCATTATTATTATTATTATTATTGATCTAGTTACTGTTATTACAGATGAGTTATGCACAAGATATTTACAGCTGCCGACTGTTTAATCCTTCATGCTAGTTGGCCTTTACATTACGATGCTGAATGATCAGTGCAAAAAGTCAGTAATTAATTAAAAGCAGCTTAGATTCCAGCAGTTGCACCTTTGGAAAGATGGCAAAGAATCTTTCCCTATCCATGATATAGAAGATAAAGTTACACACATGATCTTAACTATGCTGGGAATTTTTCCATCTATCCTTAGGGATAGCTTTATGCATAAAATCCAAAACATACGATGTTTCTCACCTGAGCAGGGGATCTTCTTCACTTGTTTGCAATTCCGGCTTCATTCCTTGTTGCAATTTATTAATGCCAATTTTATGACTTTCTCCCAACTGTGATTTTGCTGTGAATCTGCTTGTGTTTTTCAGAATAAAGGTCTTCTTACCTATTTAATGTTTCGTTTGCTTTATCTCTTAACAAAGGGTTTGTCATCTGTGGGATGATTAGAGCGTCAAATTTTTTGGTACAACCTAAAACAGGAGGAACCAATTACAAATCAGCGGGATCCGAATAAAGAAAATCAACAACCAGTATAGGTCCGGAGAGATTTGTCATTTTGATCCCTCATTTTAAACTGAATTTAACACTGAAGTAAAAAGGGATGTTTATGCCTCCATGTTATACATGACTTTTTAAATAATAATAATAAAAAAAAAAGAATAGAACAATCGTTCAGTTTGGTATATAGAAAACATCCTGATTCACATATTTTATTAAACATCTGATCTTTTTTTTTTGCTTTTCATTCTCAAGCACATATCAAGGTGCTCATTTTGAGCCTGGATCCAGATTTATTTTTGATTCTGTTCATGGTGGAGAATCCTGCTTCACAGCAGC